TGTTTCTTGGGGAAATTTTTGAAGCTGAACAAATATAAGCTGGGAGAATAATCATTCTTGTGTAAAAATGGCAGAAAAAGAGCTTTGGGTCATAGTCATCTTCTGATCACAAGACAGCAGTGTCGCATTGTGCATTAATCCAAAACTTGAACCTGGTATTGGAATGCAAAAGTAAAACCACATAGACGGTAGGAACTATGAAGTAATCTTTTTATTTTACACAACACTGACTTTTGTCTATTTTAGGATTCTGTAGCCAAAGGGAATCTGAGATATTTGTAAAAATTTCAGAGAAGAAGCTACACAGAAGACAGAAGACTAAGGGGTTGGAAAATAAGACCTGAGAGAAAAAAGGGCTATTAATTCAGCTTGGAGAAGATAAGACTGAGAATATTTAATTATACTTTTCAGGGATCTGAAGGATTATTCTAATGAGGGCTTACCATACCCAGGCTAGTGACCAAATGTTCATCTCAACTGAGAATAGAATTGGATTAAACTTTAGTATGAGGGATATAGGTTAGATGAAAGGGAGAATTTCTTTTTTGAGGAAAAAGTTGTAATTATATTTTTATTGTATTCTAATCTCCCTGGGCCTCAGTTCTTCATCTGCAAAATGAGGAGTTAGACTATAGCTTCCAATGTCCCTTCCAGCTGTAAATCTGTGATCCTATTTGCATGTTGTTGACTCATGTGCAGTAAAAATATAGTAACTGTATTAACTAGAATATATTTTGTTTATTGGAATTCTCTAATTCCCAATTACTCTGAGTAAAACTGAGTTTATTATATAGAGGTTGCATGGTATGGTTGAGTCTGGACTTGAAAGAATTTCTTGAGAGTGAAATTTTTAAACATGGGTTTATATTATTGAAAGAATTTGTAGAACTTAATTTCATCTGTCTGGGAGATAAGGTAGGCTCTTGAAGGTAGAGGGATGGATCTAAATGATTGAATCAACAAACATTTATTAAGTACCTGTCTTCTACGTGCCAGGCAGCATGCTAGGCACTGACACCACAAGGCAAAAATAGAATAGTCATTACCCTCAAAATGCTTATTTTCTTTTGGGTGAGATGTGCGTGTGTAAATATAAATACAGTAAACAAGGGAGTTTTTGTAGGGAGTCACTCGCAGCAGGAAGGATCAGGAAAGATCTCAGGTAGGAGGTATCACTGGAGGGAAACTCTGAATGAAATTAGGGATTCTAAGAAGTATCGGTGAAGAGGGAGTGAATTCCAGGCTTGGGGAGGATGGTTGCTTCAAAGACACTGAGAGAGGAGGTGGAATCTCCTGCAAAAGGAACAGCAAGACCAACTTAACTGGACTATATTGACTGTAGTGGGGAGTAACTTGATGCTGGAAAGGTAGGTTGGAACCTCTGAAAGGCTTAAAGTTTTATTGGGAGCCCTGTTAGTGTATTAAGCATGGGCAGGCTTGTGCTTTAGGAAAATCACTTCAACAGCCGTGTTGAGGAGAGATTGGACAGGAGAGAACTGAAGCCAATTAGGAGGCTGTTGCAGTAGTCCAGGTGAGAGGTGATGAGAACCTGGCCTAATGTGGTGATTATGAGTGGACAGAAGGGGATGAAGGTGAGATGTGTTTTGGAGGTAGCCTCGATGATACAGGGCAACATTGGGTGGGAGATAGTGAGATGTTGGGGATCACTCTGAGGATGTGAACCTTGCACATCTTGAAGTGGGGTGGTGCCCGTGACAGAAATGAGCAAGTTTGGAAGAGAGATGACGTTTTGGGGAAAGAGAATGAGTTTTGTTTTTGTGCATGTCGAATTTGAGAAGCGGCTAGCACATCCGGTTTGAAATGTCTAGCTGTTGGAGATGTTGGACTGGCGCTCAGGAGAGATTAGTGCTGACCGCATGCATAGATTTGGGAGAGATAACCCTCGAACCCATGGGCACTGATGAGGTTATCAAGAGAATGACAAAAGAGGGCCCAGGCTGGAGCCTTGGGGTGTGCCCACAATTAGGAGGCTTGATGTGGATGATGAACTAGCAAAGGAGACAGAGGAGGAGTGGTCAGATAAGTATGAAAAGAGCTCTGTGATTCAGGGAGAGCCATGTTAAGTAAGCACTTATTGAGTGCTGTATATGTCAGCTATTGTACTAAGCACTAGAGGTACCAATACAAGCAAGCAAGACCGTACTTGTCCTCGGGCACTTACATTCTAATGGGAGAAAACGATCCATAAAGGGCAGCTGCAAAAAGAGTGGGAGAGGTAATGTCCAGGCTGTGCTGTGTTAAATGTTTAAAGACTGACTCTCTGGCAGGAAAAAAGTGGTGGTCTAAGCGCCATCATTAACATTTTCTCCATTACATAAGTCTAGACAATCAACGGGACAATAAATTGAGCCCTGATTTGTAGCATTTGCCAATTTCTGAGTCGTAAATGGTCACACTGAAAATTTAACAACCTGCTTATTTGATAGAGGTGTATGTGCTTATACTGAAAATTTAATAACCTGCTTGAGCAGGTAGGGGCCGGCTCCAGTACATCTCTGGGTGACATGGTGTATAGAGGGCAGGGAAGTGGTGTAAAGGCCTGACAGGGGAAAGAGAAAGCAAAAGCTCATCTGGTCCCAGGGACAGGGAGGAGATAGGGTTAGGATCTCTCCATGGACAGTAGGATAGTGTGAGTGATGGAGGAGGCATGACATTGAGCTTTGGGAAATTGTTTCTGTTTCTCTTTCTTCATAGTAAGCCCTGGGTCACATTGGATAGGCACTGTTCTTACTTGGTTTCTGGGTTTTTGGTTTTTTTTTTCTGCCAAAGATTTGCCCTAGAAATGACAGAGCAAAAATGGCTTATCAGGAGTTTGCTGCCTAAGTTAAGTGAGAAGATAATAAGATGAATTTGAATCACCTGGCCCAGATGAAGTGTTCTGAAAACAAACAACAAACCCTACTTCAGACTGGCAGATATGATTGGAATCAGGGATATTGGGATGAACATGGAGGACAGAAGAGATACTATGGCACTAGGGAAAGGCAGAATGTCCTAATTTTCAAAAAGGGAAGATCGCAAACTAAAAGCCTTCCATTTCTGGGAATATACATGTACAGATCACTGAAGAGATGCTTAGTGAGTATCTAGAAAAGGAAGCAGTGATTACAAAGGTGGCTTCATGACTGATTAGCCGTAATTTCTTCTTTGATACTTTTTACACTGGTAGGTTCAGGAAAGTCCTATAGAGAAATTTTACCTAGAAAACATTTAATAAAGAACCTCATGCTTTTCTTTTGGCAGAAATAATTATATTGACTTACATGATAATACATAATTGTCTGGGTTTGGAACTAGTCAAATGTCCAGACTCAAAAAAAGCAACCATTAATAATTTGGCAAGGAGACTCTAATGGATCTTACCAAGAATCTGCATGGCCCTGTGCTGCTTAGCATATTTCCTTATTTCATTTATCTGCCCACCTCACATTTATTTATTCATTTATTTATTTCAGGCAGTGATTTGAATAGAAGCATAGATGGCATCCTCACCAAATTTGCAAATGAAACAAGATTGAGGGGGACAGCTGACATAAGTGGATGACAGAATCAGGATCCCAGAAGATCTTGAACAGAACACTTTGGGCTGAATCTAATAAAATAAAATCAGTAGGGATAGCTGTAAAGTCTTACATTCAGGTTCAGAAATCATTTTCTCAAGTACCAGATGGAGGAGCTATGGTAAGGGAGCCGTTTGTCTGAAAAGGATCTGGGGTTTTTCGTGGACTACAAGGTCAACATGAGTCAGCAGTGTGATGTGGCGACTGGAGGGCTGTTGTGATCTTAGGCTGAGTAGAGAGGAATAGCTTCCAGGAATGAGGTGGATAGGTTCATCTCTACTGTCCCCTGGTCAGGTTACCTCTGGAATATTTGTTTAGGTCTAGGTATCACCTTGATGGACATGGATAGAATGGACGCTGATGAACCCAAAGGCAGCTGAGGTACTGAAGGGTCTTGACTGCATGTGATAAAGAGGATCACTTGGGAGGGAGTGTATTCTGGAGAAGAGAAACTCAAGGGAAGGGGGCATGATGCCTGTCTTCAAGTACGTGAAGGTCTGTCTTGTAGAAGAGAGATTATGCTTTCTTTGTTTGATCCTAGAGTGGAATGAGTGCAAACTTAGGAAATTTAGACTTGATATCAGCACAAAAAATTTCTGAAAATTAGAGCTGTCCAAACTTAGAAGGGGCTATCTCAGGAGGCAGTGAATTTTCCCTCATTGTGTGTTTCAGTCATGTCCTACTCTTTATGACCCTGTTTGGAGTTTTCTTGGCAAATATACTGGAGTGGTTTGCCTTTTTTTTTCTCCAGCTCATTTTACAAATGAGGAGACTGAGGCAAACAGGGCTAAGTGACTTGTCCAGGGTCACACAGCTAGTAAGTGTCTGGGGCCAGATTTGAACTCAGGAAGATGAATTCATCCACTGTGCCACCTAGCTGCCCCTCATTGTGCGTCTTCAGACATTGGGTGACCACCTGCTAGGTGTGTTATAGTAAGGATTCTTTTTCTTGTGTAAGTTGGGCTGACTGACTGCTAAAGCCAACTCTGAAATTCCTCTTGTGTCTGTTTATCCTTTGCAAAGTGGAGACAGTCCTTAGGGAATTATAAATAAGTGATAAATATAGATAACTGAGTTAAGGCTCTTAGAATACAAGGAGCCTATTAAAAGGAGGCACAAATAAAACAGCTATCATTAGTTTTGGAAAAAGCTCTAAAAACTCTTTCCAGTAAGTTAGTTTTCTCTATAATACCTACGCTGAAATGAGGTGCCTTGGTTTATATCTAGAGAAGCTAGGGTATTAGAAGGATGGACGTAACTAACAGCATGCTTATTACCATTATAAATTTTGAGTGCCTTCGGAGTGATTTATAGGACAAAGGAAAAACAGATCCTTATCTTCCAGATCTAAGCAATACATGAAAGGCTTAGAATCAATACATGAAAGACTTAGAATTTCATCTTGGAACCTTGTGCCTTGGTGCCCTTTCTTGGTGACAGTTCCTGGACATGGATTCAGTTGTTTCTCTTCTCATTTTCCTCTCTAGTGCAGAAGGCAGAATGGCGAGCGTGTTGTCGCGGCGCCTTGGCAAGCGATCCCTCCTGGGAGCCCGAGTGTCTGTCCCCAGTGCCTCTGGAGATGGCTTAGCAGCGGCAGTCCAGCCCTCAGGTTCCCATGCTGAGCTGGTTGGGGTGGTTGCCCCCCAACCCTTCCCTGTCTACAAGGACAACCACTGCCAGGAACATCCTAAGGAGATCCTCATGGCGCCTGGTGTCCCAGGTCTACAGCAGGCGGTGTTTCAGGCAGGGCAGAAGGTAAGTCAGAGCAAAGTGTGGATGGGGGTGTGTTTCTGTTCCTTTAGACTTGGAGTTGGAAGATTCAGAATCCTTACTCACAGTTTTGGGATAAGATTGGGTATAGGGAGACAAGTGTCATGGATACTGTTTTTCTCTCAAACCACTCATTTCTGATGTCTCCTATATTGGTCATAAGAGAGGCAGACTTTTTTTACAGTATACAATGATCTCCTAGTTCTGCTCACTTCATTTTGCGTCAGTTCATATAAGTCTTCTCAGGTTTTTCTGAAACCATCCTCCTCATCATTTCTTATAGCACAATAATACTCCGTCACAATCATATACCACACCTTATTCAGCCATACCCCAATTGATGAGCATCCCCTCGATTTCCAATTCTTTGCCACTTCGAAAAGACCTGCTACAAATATTTTTGTACATACAGGTCTTTTCCTTTGATCTCTTTGGGATGTGCAAGCCTAGTAGTGGTATTGCTGGGTCAAAGAGTACGCACAATTTGATAGCCCTTAGGGCATAGTTCCACGTGGTTCTCCAGAATTGTTGAACCATTTCACAGCTCCAGTAACAGTTCATTAGTGTACTGTTTTCTCACATCCCCCATGAGAAGAATTTTAGAGCCTAAGTCATAGGGTGTTTGTGCAGCAGACCTTCTGCTTCCTGTGGGTACACCATGGTGTAATTCTTAATACCTCTTGCCACTCTGTTGAAGTAAGTGCTCCCAAAGTCCACTGACCTTAGGCTGATTCAGAGTTCACAGAGGCTAGTGAGATGAGTGGTATTTATCTTAAATGTTTACCGGGCCTAGTTGGTATATATATTTGGTGCAGGAGCCAGCAACTTTTAAAAATTAGTTACCAAGGTTTTCTTTCATGCTTTTTTTCTCACTGGGAGTCAGTGTGTACCAAATGGAGTTTTAAAATTGGGCTAGAGTAACACTGACTCATTGTGGATGGTCATTCAGCAGGGGGCTGTGGTGGTAGACATAAAGAAAGCAGCTTGGATTGATGTTGGAAGCTGGGATGGGGGTGAATGGCAGTCCCTGTCCTGCCTTAAGGGCCCTCATGATACAGATTGCTAACCCCAGCTTTAGTATATCAAGTCTCTATTTGCCCTTGCTCTTGGAGGCATTGGGTAAGAGTAGAACCTCCCTGCTCCCTCTGTTACATTTTGACTTTTCCTTCCTCTTCTTTGGTGCTGTGGGTAGGGTTGTATGTGGTGGGAGTTTTTTATGCTACATGCATCTTGAGGTAAGTGATTGGCTGGATGACTCCTCTCCTGTGTTGTCAGCATGCTTGGGTTCTCCAATGCCATGTGCTCTTTTGGGGGGTGGGGAGGGGAAGATGAAATGACTTTTGGAATCAAGGAGCAAGTGCCAGAGTTGATTTGGGGAGAAATTTGGTCTTGAAGTTTGTTGTTGTTGTTGTTGTTGTTTTTTAATGGGTACTTTGGGATCAGTGTTTTGTCATTCAGGAACCATGGACAGCAGCAGGTAGGCTCTAGGACTGGATGGAGTTTGGGAATGTAGCCTAAAGGTTATGTACCCCCAACAGAGGAGACGTAGAGTAGAGATCAAAAGCCATTAAGTCAGAACCAAGTGAGCCCTCTCAACCCAGAGACGTGTTAGAGGCAGCGTGGTGTGTAATGGACAAAGTGTTGGCCTGGGAGTCTAAATCGACCAGAGTTCAGATCCCACCTCTGACAGTAACAGCTCTCTGTCTATGGGCTTAATGTCCATGAGTGTCCATTTCTCTCTCTGTAAAACAGAGATAATTCCTATGCTGATGACCTCACAGGGTTGTTAGGAATATTAGGTGGAATTAATGCATATAAAGTGATTTGTGAAGTTTAAAAGTTCTGGGAAGATGTCTCCATTCATTCTCCCTCTTTCTTCTTCTTCTTCTTCTTCTCCTTCTTTTTTTTTTTTTGGTGAGGCAATCAGGGTTAAGTAACTTACCCAGGGTCACACAGCTGGGGAGTGTCAAGTGTCTGAAGCTAGATTTGAACTCAGGTCCTCCTGACCCCACGGCTGGTGCTCTATCTATTGCGCCACTTCCACCCTCACCCCTGGTCATCTGAATGGCGAGTAGGTAGACTATAGGTGTGGAATAATGTAACCAATGAGGTTTTTTGCTTAGCTATATTTCCTTATTATGAAGAAGGATTTTTCTGTTAGGGACAGGAAGGAAGGCCAGAGAAGGGTTGTTGGGAACTGACAATGAGATTTTTTTGTTTTTTCTTTTTAAAAGAGCATCAATAAAACACTTATTTTTTTGGATACTTATTTATTTGCTCTTTGGATTTTAAGGACACATAACTGAGATAATTCCCTGCCTTGACTTAGAACTTTTATATGGTTTCTGTTGAGATAACAACCAATGCTGCATGTTTAGCCTGGGCCCTACAGGTGGGAGCAGATGATTGGGGACCCCTGGCTAAGGGGAAAGGTGTGGGCATGGGGAAGCAGCAGCAGTTTTTGGCAGACAGGTCCGGACACCTGAACTCGGGGGTGTTAGAACCCTAGGAGGAGACCTAAGAGACACTGACCGTGGGATTCCCTTTTTCTTTCTCCTTTTCCCAGGTCTGTGTGTGGTATGGGGGCCAGGAGTGTATGGGAGTGGTGGAGCAGTACAGCTGGGCAGAAGATAAGGTGACGGTTCTGCTGCTGGACCAGAAATTGCAGATCTGCTGCAAATCAGAGGAAGTTTGGCTGCCGGAGCTGAAGGGTTCTGTGCCTCAACTGCCACCAACCATGGAACAGGCAGCTCCTGCTACAGCGTACAGATCCGTCTCCAGGAATATTGATGTCCCGAAGAGGTTTGTATGGGAAGGCACTGAGTCCCTGAATGTGTGGGTAGCTGTCTGTGTGATGGGGCCTCTCAGGTAGAAGGGCCCTGGTTATAGTGACAAGAATTGAAGGGATTCCCTCTAGCTGGGGCCTTGTCTACCGGGTGGGGGTGCCTTCTTTTGTAGGGGTTAGTATTTGGACAGGCCCCAACTTTTAGGGATGGGAGGCTAGCTCAGGGCTCTTTCTCTCTCTCTCTCTCTCTCAGTTTTAATTTAGGGGAGTTTTAATGTTGGACTCTTTCTCTATAAATTAAAAATAATAATAATAGCCAGCATTTGTATAGCCCTTAAAGATTCGCAAAGTGCTTTATGTAGTTTATCTTATTTGAGTCTCATAACTCTGTGAAGTAGGTAACTATTATTATCCTCATTTTATAGCTGAGGAAAAGTGAGGCTGAAAGAACTTAAGTGACTTGTTCAGGATCCCAGAGCTAGTAGGTATCTGCAGCAGGATTTGAACTCGGATCTTCCTGACTCCAAGTCTAGCATTTTGTTCCCAGCGCCATATTGTTGCCCTGGGATGCTCACCTCACTGTAAAGAGGGCTGAATAAGCGAGTGCTTTATCATGGTCTTGACTGAGAGGAGGGAGACACTTACCATGCCTCTGGGTTCTTTATTTGCCCTTCTCACCTCCAGCTATCAATTTTCTATCTCAGTAAAGAGGAATGTAGTGATATAGATGATCCTAAGCATCATAGAATCGAAAGATCCTTAGTACTTAGCTTTAAGGCAACGAGGTGGTGCAGTGGGTAGAGCACCAGGCCTGGAGTCAGGAAGCCCAGAGTTCAAATCTGGCCTCAGACACTTACTAGCTATGTGACCCTGGGCAAGTCACTTAACTCTGTTTGCTTCAGTTTCCTCATCTGTAAAATGAGCTGGAGAAGGAAATGGCAAACCACTCCAGTGTCTTTGCCAGGAAAACTCCAAATAGGGTCACCAAGAGTTGGATACTACTAAAAAAACTGAACAGCAACTTAGCTTTGAGTTTAATGGTGTGATTTCCTTCCCCCAGAACTCCAAAAGACTTACCTTTTTAATTGCCACATGTTATAGTATAAATCGATCTATCAAGGTTAAACAAACAAAAACCCTCCCCTCTTTGGGACTGATATATTGACAGCAGTGGCCTACCTACCTCATCCCTCTTTGTGCTGTTAGCAGTAACTGGTTGGTAAGGTGAACTCTTACTGCCTTGTTTTCATCAGCTGTTAATATTCAATTTATATTTGACTCTTAGTGGTATTTGCCATCATTTTACATAGTCACAGTGGCAGCTAGGTGGTACAGTGGATACAGTGCCAGACTTGGAGTCAGGAAGACCTGAGTTCAAATCCAGTGTCAGACACTTACTAGCTGTGTGGTGCTGGGCAAGTCACTCAACCTCTCTCTGTTTGCTTCAGTTTCCTTAGTTGTGAAATTGGGTAAATGATAACACCTAACTTGTTGTGAGGCTCAAATGAGGTATTACTCGTAGAGCACATAACCACAGGGCCTGGCACACAGTAAGTGCTATAGAGATGCTTATTCCCTTTCCCTCAGTTTGTAATTTCTTTTCATCAGATTTGCAGGTGCTAATTTCCCATGAAATTAAATGTTTGGGGTTTTCCTCTGAGAAATAGTACAGTAGGAAGAACATTGGCTCTGGGGTTAGAGGTCCTGGGTTCAAATCACAATTCTGACACTACCTACCTTCAGCAAATCATTTAGTCTCTCTGGGCCTCAGTTCCCTCACCTGTAAAATGGAGGGATTGGGTTAGATGGCCTCTGAGTTCCCTTCCAGCCCTCAATCAGTGATTCTGTCATGCTCAGTGACAACTTAGCTGCTTCGAGTGCTGTTAAAATACTTAGTTTGATGTACCTGGGTGTTAACAAGTAAAAGGCATATTGTTTATTACTTTACATAGCACATTCTTGTTACTTTTGACTATCATATTACCTTGTAAGCTGTTTGTTATTTACCATTCCTGGTGTGAATGGGAGAGAACAAAATCTTTTTTCTCATAGTCTTTTCTAAAGCAGAATTTTAGAAACCTTTTGGCACCACCAGGCAATGCTGTGATGTTTGGGACTTAAATCTGGTGACAAATGTTTGTGAATCCAAATCTACAAAACAATAGATGTGGACTAGTATTCAGAGGTTTTTTTTTTGTTTTTTTTTTTGTCTAAACCTTTGTGGGGAATGCCTAGTATGGAAACTCTTCACTCACCCATATTGTCAGCTCATCTATAACTTACAATTTCCTTGGGCATTGAGAGCTTAAGCTGTCGATCCACCGTCAGCTAGGACGTGTCAGAAATAGAACTTGAATCCAAGTTTTCCTGGATTCTAAGACTGATAGCTTCTCATTCAGTAGATATAAATGAGTGAATGAAAAAACATTTATTAAGTGCTTAACTCTGCAAAGCACTGTGCTAATTACTGGGGATACAAGTGGAAAAATGAGCTCACATTCTAATAGACAACCCTTGAGAGTCCTAGGGGGCAGCAGGAAGATGCTATGGTTTACTGATCCTTAGGATGTAGTGTCAGGACAGATGGAAATGCCTCAGACTTTGGAGGACTCAGAAACAGGGCTGCTGGTAAGACCCTGTGATCCAGATGGCAAGTAATCCAGTTTGACTAGAGTGTAAAGGGGAGAAGACTAATACAGAAGTGCATCTTTTTGAATGTCATTTTGATTAAGAAGATCATATTCATTTCTGATGTTGAACCATTTGACAGTGCCGAGGAGTTTGGTGGTGAAAACTTTATTTTTCAGGTCTTCAGTATCTGGCTACTGAGGAGGTAGGGGCAAATGTTAGCAGAGACAGCTCTTGTGATCTCGAGATGACTCTACTGGAGTTGCTTGCTCCCCTGGGTGACGGTGGCAGGGTCAGACTAGAGGTAGAGGTAGGGGATACTGTTAGTCACAGAATTCTTGGGCATGTAAAGTCCTAGGTAGTGTCTCCATGGGGGCCTGAGACAATATGTCAAGGGTAGTAATTTGATTTTCTTTCATGTAGCAATGAAAGAAGATTTTAAATTATATAACAAGGTGCTAATGTTAGCTTCTTGCCACAAACTATCATTTTTTGGTGCAATGAAATTAAAGTGGATCTCTTAGCAGATACTGGAATTCTGGAATGCTCTCCAAAAGTTTATTTCATAAGATGTCTTTTTTGTTTTGTTTTGTTTTGTTTTTTAATTTCAGCATTAACTCATAGCTCTAATTTTATTCTCAAACAACTCAAGTTTATTTTTGAAAGAGTTCTGTAGAACTCTAAAGGTTTTGCCAGTGTGAAGGAATTTGATCATTGAAGTTTGGTTTAGGGAATCTTTATTTAATGATCTTGAAATGTCTTTAGTTTTTATGGGGCTGTTGTCCCAGGAAATAGGTCCTGTTGACATTCACAAGATGATAATTTGCTTGTTTGGTTTCTTTGGGAGGATAAGGCTGGTTTGTTTTAGTTATATCCCTTTGTGTTTAAGTATGGCGCAGAACCTACCTCTTCTTAAAAAGGGGTGGGAGGATTTGCATATTTAAAAAATTATATAGGCTTCTTTGTCATCTTATTTTTCATTGTTCTTAATTTCTTTTGTCTCTAAATTAATTACTGTATATTGTGTTGTAGAAAGAAGATCAGATTGGGAATCAAGAAGACCTAGGGTTTACATTCTGCCTATGACCCTTATTAGTACTGTGACCATGATCCATTCACTTTACCAGCTTAAGTCTCAGTTTCCACATCTGTAAAATGGCAATAATACTTGCAGTACTAGCCTCATGAGGTGATCTTTTTTGTTTGTTTGTTTGAAGACTGGCTTTCCCTAGCTCACTCAGGCTGTAAGTTCACAGGTCTTGATCCCACTCTGATCTGTATAGAAGCTTTGACCTTCTCTGTTTCTGACGTGGGCTGATTTGCTCCTTCATTAGGCAACCTCAGTGAGCTCCCCTCCCTCTCCCAGGGGCTCACCGTATTAAAGCCAAACTTGGTTTTGACACTGTATTGCCATAATTCGCTCAGAACTGAACTCGAGTTGTGTCAGCCTCCCCCTCCCCAGGAGCTGGGTTTACAGGTCTGAGCCCCCATGCCCGGAGGAGTCTACTTTGAAACTTTGAATAAGATATATGTGTAAAGAGGAAATCTTTAACACACTATATAGAGTTGATTGTTGTTAATGATAATGGTTGAACAGCTAAGTGGGGAAGTGAATAGAGTGCCAGGCCTGGAGTTGGGAAGCACTGAGTTCAAATGCGGCCTCAGACACTTACTAGCTGTATGACCCAGGGCAAGTTATGTAACCCTGTTTGCCTCAGTTTCCTCATCGGTAAAATGAGCTGGAGAAGGAAATGGCAAACCACTCCAGTATCTTTGCCAAGAAAACCTTAAAGCAAAGAGTCAGCTGCAACTGAACAACAGCAGTGATAATGATATTTTAATTTGGGTTTAATCCTGGTTTATTCCATTACTTTGTGTCTCTGAACGAGTCACTTAGCCTGTTTCCTCACCTTATATTGGACAGATGACCCATACATGTTCTTCCATAAACAGGGGATTGACCTGGGCTCCTGCCCGTTATTGGGGATTGGTCTGAAGTTTGTGCTTGAGTTTACTTACACTAGTAATAAAACTCACAACATGGGTTGTTGTTGTTTTTTTACTTTATTTAGACTTTTTTTTTTGATGAGTATTTCTAGGTTTTAATTGATTGAAAGATATTAGAAAATGCTGACAAAACACAGCAGTGCATATTAAAATTATATATTATGCTAAAGCAGTATTTATACCAGGAATGTAAAGACGGCAATATTAGAAAACCAATGAGCATAATAAATTAAATTAACAAAGCTTACTTCAGTGGATCTATAATCACATAGATGTGGGTATTCCATTGAATAATGCATTCCAACCCATCAACATCTTCTTATCCTATGTGATTTTTTTTAAATTTAATTTATTTATTTTTAGTTTTCAGCATTCACTTCCATAAGATTTTGAGTTTTAAATTTTCTCCTCATCTCTCCCTTCCCCCCCCCCCCCAACATGATTTTTTTTTTTTAAATAGGAATCTGACCTGTGTGCTTTACATGTCTTGTGCAAAACTTGTTATATGTTACGGGCAGCTAGGAGTCATAGTGGATAGAACAATGGCCCCAGAATCAGGAAGACCTGAGCTTAACTGTGGTCTCAGATACTGAGTAGCAGGGTGGCCCTGGGCAAGTCACTGAACCTCTGTCTGCCTCAGTTTCCTCATCTGTAAAATGAGAATAATAGCACCTACCTCCCAGACTTGTTCTGAGGAACAATTGAGAAAATATTTGTAAAGTGGATAGCACAATGCCTGTCACAAAGTCAGTGCTTAATAAATGCTTGTTCCCTTCCCGCCTACCCCTACTTTGGGTTGTGTTCCTTTAGGACAAAATAACTTTGCAGGATGTATCCCAGAATTGTAGGATTGCAGTGATCTACAAAGTGGATAATGCACATGCAACAGTCATCAGAAGAACATGGTGGTTGTGCAGGCTCATGGAGTTCTTTTGGACCGTTCTAGTCTTTCTTACCTCTCCCTTTGTTTGCATTCAGGAAGTCAGATGCAGTGGAGATGGATGAGATGATGGCGGCCATGGTCTTGACCACATTGTCTTGCAGTCCAGTAGTGCAAAGTCCTCCTGGCGTTGAGTGCAATTTACCTGGTGAGTCTTGCCACTAAACCCCAAGAAAAATACTGAGTAGGTATCTCATTTGGAGGTGGACCCTTAAACTTAACATTTTTTTTTAGCAGCTATATGCAAGGAACACTGGCCTGGACATCAGGATTCCTGGATTCTGTTCTCAGTCACATTCCACCCCATACTTTCTGAGTGACCTTGTGTTAGTTGCCTCCCTTCTCTTTCCTCAGTTTCCTCATCTGGGGAGGAGGATTGTGGAGCATTTTGAAGATGAATGAGACCATTGGAAAGAGTCTCACTCACTGGCCAGATGAGTAAGTTCCTCCACGGGAGTAAGTTAGGCACTTGTGGTGGGGAACTTGAACTAGGCCAGTAGAGGGATATTTTGTTTACTAGGAAAATAACATATGAGTGGCCTCCAAATGTTCATGCCCCTCTCCAAGTGTCTTAATTCACTCTTGTAAACTAGGATAAGCCTACAGGGCCAGACCCCAAAAGAAATTAAGTTAAGTCTGAATTTAGTCCAGTCATGGGCAAGAAAATATTTTAATAGAAAGTAAAAATGTGACTTCACAGTAAACTGATTCTCTTTCTGAATGCTTTTGGCACTATTTGAAACATGCCATTACCATTACTGTGGGGAATGGTTGGTGAATATTAGTAGTTTGATCAAATTTGTTGTGTGGGCCTTAACATTTTTAAATTAACTTGTAAGGCTGGCCTGAAACTTACTCCCAGGGAACAACTTTACTTACTGGCATAGTCCATCTAACTTAATTGTCAGTTATTCTGAGTTTTGTGGGGGAAACATGACATTTTTGGTAAGAAAAGTGACCATGTAAACTTACATTTATATAATTGATTAACTTATCAGTTACTCTTAAAAAATGTTACTTTAATATTTAAGTGTTTAAGTTTTCCTCAACATCAAGGAATAGACTGATATACATAATTTAGTCAGTGGAATGTCATTTACTGGCTCAAGTATTTCAAGAAGTGGAAGAATGTAGCCCGATTTCTGAACCTGCAAGAGTGGAGTTAGATTACATATGTTTTTCTATATATATGTATGTGTGTGTGTGTGTGTGTGTGTGTGTATGTGTGTGTGTGTGTGTGTGTATATATATATATATATATATATATATATATATATATATGCATATACATATGAAATGATGGCGGTGGTCTTGCAGTCCAGTAGTGCAAAGTCCTCCTGGCATTGAGTGTAATTTACGTGGTGAGTCTTGGTATATATATAATATAATATAGAAACAGAAAATAGAAATGTAGAATATAGAAATATATATATATCTAGAATATAGAAATAGAAAGAAAAATATAATAGATATTATGATACAAGTATTATATATTATCATATAACACAACATAAATATATAGTTATAACATAAATATAATATATACTATACAAAACATATACATGTTTATATATTATATATGTATATATAGAGTGCATATATACACGTGTGTGTGTGTAAATGTGTTTTTTCTAGTGATGGTGGCAAGGCCTTCAAAGTATTAGTACAAAGGGACCCACATGGGGTTTTAAATCTACCACTGGATTTGCCAAGGGTAGCCAGAGGCAGAGGAGAGAGTCTCCAGAAATTGGTGCAAAGGGAAAGTGGACTATTATAAAGACATCAAGTCCAACCAGTTCATTGTGCTCTGCTCTTGTACCCCAACTGGCACCATTCCATCCACTATCTTACCTCTTTATCTGAAACGTTTTCAACTTTTCCTCTCAAGGAATTAACTTATTTTTAAAATCAGAATAAATGACTTATCATCATTGGAACAAGTAGGAAAATAGCATTTACTTGGTAGCTAATTTTCCTGAAATGCTTTATAAAGCAAAGTATATTTTGACAACCTTCTCTAAAATTGAGCTCTATTTAAAAATATTAAAGTTAGTCTTGGAATTTTTTCTTCAGGATTGCTATGTGAGCGTTGATTTTTGTGTAGAAGGGGGAAGAAGTAAGAATTACTGTTGAGTTAGTGGCAATAGAAATTGTGTAGAAAACAGAATGTTCTGTTACGGTCTTGCCTCACATGTATTGAATGTGATCACATAAAAGGCAACACCTATTTTTGCAGATTTTCAATACTTGGCGCATAGCACCTAATAAATAGTTATTCAGGGGCAGTTAGGCAGTGCGGTGGATAAAGCAATGACTCTGGAGTCAGAAGGACCTGAATTCAAATGTGACCTCAGACACATAATACTTAATAACTGTGTGAACCTAGGCAAGTCATGTAACTCTGATTACGTCCAAAAAAAAATGCTTATTCATTCATTGACAAAGTCTTAAAACTGTACTGATGATACAAAACATACATATACTTGGTCCTGACTTTTAAAGAATCTGCTAAGGTGATATGAAATGCATATGTTATCTACATAATATAAGCAGAGATTAATTTTTGGTTTTAATTTTTCATATTTTTTGAAAAACACATTTTGTCTCCTTCAAAAATTTTTGAGTTACTTCAGGTGTATACAGTTGGGAAGATCAACTGTATGTGGAAGATTTGTGGGTCAAAGTTTGCTTAGATCTTGATGTGTTTTTATTTTTACCCCTAATTCCTGACCCAGACCTTTTCTGTGGTTCCTAAATCTTTCCTAATGGTCCCATTCAGGATTAAAACTCTGTTCATGCTTCCTAATGTTTGGCTTAAACCATGGGTCAATATTTGAGCTTTTTCTAGTTCAGGGACCAGGTTGCTTTGGAACTCCCATAATGCAGTGGGTTATGATTGCTTCAAGGTCTAAAAATTTGGAAACATGACTCATTTACTCAGCCTGCAGTTTTCCTGCAGGAGGTGAGACTTGAGGAAAGTCTTGACTCGAAAGCTATTTTAGGTATGTGGGACAAAACAATGGGATTAAGGCAGCAATGTGTTGCTACCACAAATGTCGTGACAATGTGCTTTGAAACCCACTGTGAGAAGGTCTAACACAATGTTAATGGCAGTAGAAGATCTGATAGAAGTCTTTCCAAAGTTTTATTGTACAGGACACTTGGTAACTGTAAGGGTCTTATTTCTTGCCTTATTTGAAAAGTAAGCCTGTGTCTAAGCTTTTCAGACATACGTTCTGTGTATTGCAACCCTACAAGTTATCTTGAATCAAGCATTTGAAAGAAATTGGACCATCCCTAAAACAAGAGACAGGCAAAAGTGTTAATAAAAACTGCAGGTGCAACCTACTCATTGACATTGCATTTCTTCAAAGACTGAGGGTGTTCATCACCTGCATTTTCTCACTGGCTCTGAGTAGTAGAGAATTGATAGAGAAAAATTTTACAATCCTGAAATTTTCCCAGGTGAATGTCACATCATCTGAGATAGCATGTGGTAGACTTTCCATATTGTGCTGGTCTTCATCGTTTCTTCAATATTACTGTCTCCATGGGACGTAGTGTTACTTTCTTCTTAATTTTCTGTCTCTTACACATCACCTGCCAGTTCTTTGTTAGTCAAGACTGAGCCCAGAACAGTAATAACCTTCATTGTTGCTTCACCTTTATTGTTAATTTCATCTCTCAGAATGGGAAGTCAGGAATCTCTCAATTACTCTCTGCTTGGAGCAAAATTCTATTTGCAGAAGATATCCAGAGAGCTAAAGCCCTTTTGGCTACTATATCTTACCTCTCGGCCAGTTTTAGAATCTAAATTAGGAAAGTGTCACTCATGTTTTCTGTGTCTGGGCAGTCCTACAATATTTTCACACAACATTATCATAGGATTTGAGCTAGAAGGAACTGCTGAAGTCACCCTGCTTCAACCCCCTCATTTTACAGTTGAAGAAACTAAGGCCCAGAGAGATTGTGTTTTGCCTATGGTCCCGGATATTAAACATCAGAAGTGAGACTTGAATCCGATTCCGGAGGGCAGTGTCCCTTCCAGCATGCCACAGTGCACCATACCATGTTTCCCATTGTGCTTCCTCTCTCAAGTTTGTCTGTTTAGGTCAATGCCTTCTTTAGATACAATGCTACTGGATCTATTCCTATCTTAAATATATTTTTAAAACAAAATATATCCTTTACTTTGCTGTATTGCAGTCATGAGTCCTTTCCTATCACCTAATGATATAATAATTACCTTGTACTTCTATTTTTGCTTTGTTGTCTTTACTCTGTATTAGCATGTAGAAATTAGAGGTGACGAGTATTGAGTCCAAATAACTTACTTCTTGTTTTCACCTGAAAATTATTTGGTACATTGAGTTGCCTTATTCTTTATCATGTGTTTATAGTATTGTTTGGAACAGTTTTATTTAGGCATTTTTCTCCCTCTTCTCTTTGTATCCCAGAGTTTACTTTAAAGTCACCTTGATGAGATTGTCAAATCTTTTGCTAAATGCGTTGTTCCCAGTATTGATTAACTATATTCCATTCTTCGTCAGGAGCCATTGTGGCATCCTAGACCAAATATTCTTCTTTGACACCATTTATGTAGTCAGCTGTTCACTTCCCATATCATTCTTTCTCTTTCAGTTATGACCTTGAGCTTGAAGAGGTAAAAATACCACCTGCTTCCCTAAATCTTTCTGGTTTTTTATGTAGGACTTCCAAGGAAGGAAGGAAGGAAAGAAACAAGCATTTATTAAGCCCTTCCTGTGTTCCAGGCACTGTGAACACGCCAAAAGAAAGTCACCCAAGATCGTTTTTGCATTTTTTCCTGATGATGGCAGTTTTTTTCCTACATGAATCAGATGAAGCAGGTAGTGTTGGGTGGATTTGAGGAATCTTGGCAAGGTCTCTTCTGCGTTTGGATACTCACCCTGGGAAGACAGTACACCTCCTTGTCAGCCATGTTGGCTTCAGAAACAGCTGCTTCTCAATGTCTTAGTGGTGGGACGATCCATCTGTTTCTCCTGGGGGCGGTAACAGGATTTCTCCCACTTGCCAATGCTTCCTTAGTCTGGTGTGTCCCATAGGGCAGGGCTTCTTCAGAATGCTTATTTATAAACACCTTTTCATAAGGAGAGTCTCATATCAATTGTAGAGTTCTCCAGAGGCAAGGTTTACTTTCTTTTGTCTTTACATTCATGTCCTCCCCCTAAACCATTCCTTTTATTGATCAGAATCAGAACCAGAATATCACTTTCCCTGGGTAATAACATCTACCACTTTTTGAAGAATTTTTAAAGCTGTCTTACTTTGGCAGTTTAAAGCCAGCTGTCAGAAGATAAAGCACAGCTTAGTCAACTGTGTTGTCTCATAACTGAGTTTGGACCTAGGAGCTACGCACTCTCTCCTTTCCTTTGCTCTTTCCTCCTTTTGCCTGCTTCTCTCTGTGCCCTTCATTCTTTGCTACCTGTAGAACTTGGCTTTTATAATAATAGCTAACCAATGAAAACACGTCTGTCTTCTTGTCAGTTAATTGATCAGCTGTATGAGACTTTTCCTGAAGCCTCTCTGAAATTGCCTATGTCTACTTTGCATGGATTTTGTGTCTGCTTATATGTGTATGTGGTTTTCCCCTTAATAGATTATAAGTTGTTTAAGGGCAGAGGGAGTTTCATTTTTACTTAGTACCTGGCATATGGTAAGAGCTCAATAAATGCTTTTTGATTGATTGATCTTTGAATCGTCAGCTATTCTTAGTGGTCCAAGATTTCCCAGTCTTCCATGTTGCTAGGTACTTGAGGGTGCCTATATATTTCTGTCTCTTGGATGGTGGAGGTTTTAGTACATTTTAGTACAAAGGATGGTGAAATCAGTTTTTGTTTGCATAGGTTCTTAACTTGGGATCTGGGAAATTTTTTTCCTCATATATAAAATGGGAATAATAATAACTGCAGAATTTGCCTCATAGGGTTGTTGTGAGGATCAAATGAGATAATAAATGTAAAACATTGAAAAATTTAAAGCGCTGTAGAAATGTCAGTAGTTGTAAAAGTAATGGTATTCACCTTGGCTGTGATGAGAACTTAAATTGTCTGTAAACCATTAACCCTTGTGATCATTCTTTTCAAGATACCCTGGTTGTGAACATGATAACTTGATGTTTCCATTTTGCCTCAGGTGGGAAGATGCTTATATGGTAACATTCCCCAGGTGGTACCCCTCCGTATTTAATTCTGTGCTCTCATTCATCCCCTGTTTATCCTTAAAGAACTGTACAGGTCAGGGATGATTCTCTCAGCTTTATTGAGACTCAGAGAGGTAGGTGGCCTTCTTGGAAGATACAGTAAGCCAGTGTCATAAATGAGAACGAGATCTAGAAACCCAGACTTCCAGGCTAGAACTCATCATCACTTTGTCCTTGCCACCCAGTGCTTTGGGCTTTATTGATTGGGATAAACTGTAGAGCGTACATGTGGCAAAGAGTAAGCTGTTTCCATCTGGCACGGAGATGGATGTCCGCCAGTTCCCAGGTATCCTGTGGGATTGACCGTGCCTACAACCCCTTCGGATTTCATCTTCTCTTCTTTCCTGCATAGCATCTCGGACAGCTTGTGACCTGTGGAAGGAGAGTGGAGATGTGTCGGACAGTGGCAGCAGCACCACCAGTGGGCACTGGAGTGGAGGCAGTGGGATCTCCACTCCATCTCCTCCCCACCCTCAAGCAAGCCCCAAATATTCAGGCGAGGCCTTTGGCTCACCAAAAGCTGACAATGGTTTTGAGACAGACCCTGATCCTTTCCTGATGGATGAACCAGCCCCACGAAAGAGAAAGGTATTTTGTGTGTGTCTGTGTGTCTGTGAGAGAGAGAGAGAGAGATGGGCTAGAATTTTCTCCGTATTAAATTGGTCCTAGAGAAAAAGACATAACACAGATGGGCCTGGCATATATTAAGTATTGTTTGTCTTGGACAACCCTTCTTTGATTTTCAGATAATAAATCTTGTTTAAGTTTCCCATTTTTATTTCTCAGTTTTCTCTCCCCTTCTGCTTTAACTTTTTTAAAAAAAAATTATTTATTTTTAACAGTGATTTTTTAAAAATTTGAGTTCCAAATTCTCTCCTTCCTCCCTTCTCTCACCCCTCCCCTGCCCATTGAGAAGGCAAGAAGTGTAATATCAGTTATACGTGTGAAATCTTGCAGAAGATACTTTATCACCCTTTTGCTTTAATGCCAAAAGTTTCCTTAACCTTACAGCTTTCCTAGGACCCTCATCATCCTCTTCTCAGAGCCCTCATCTCCCTATGTGTATCCTCAGGCTCCTGCTCTTAAAGGCAAGGATGGATTGATTTTTTATATTTTTTCTCCAGTGCCTAGAAAGGTGCTTAAAACGTGCTTGTTGATTGATTTGTAGTCTTCACACTAATCTCTTCCTTATTGCTTATACACCTACATAGAGATTTCTAGTGGTTTTTTTTTTTTTTCCTCATAGCACCAACCATTGCACAAGCCTGTAGGGCGTATCTAGAGTCTGGGGCCCAAGCTTTTCAGTAAGCAGTGTTTATGACCCTAAAGAACCTGGTCTTGAAAAATGGAGGGGTAGATCAGTACTCTCTCTTAGGTGAGAAAGGGAGTGTAGGAAAAAGGAGTGTCCCCTAATGCCCAGGGTTTATTTTCTCCGCAGAATTCAGTGAAGGTGATGTACAAGTGTCTGTGGCCAAACTGTGGCAAAGTCCTGCGCTCCATTGTGGGTATCAAGAGACATGTCAAGACCCTCCACCTAGGGTAAGTCAAGGGGCAGGTGCCAGGCCTTCCCTTGGGCCTCATCTCTCAGGTGTTCCTTTTCCTACCTGGGGGTCCTTGTGGTTTCTCTATAGCCTTCTGCCCCAGGATGCTTTTGAGAAATTGGTACATCTGCCTTCTTCTGTCTCCTTCCCAGTCCATGCTAAGATTGATTTTTTATAAAGCTCTCCCTGCTCCTAGTGCCCCTTCTTGGAGACTGTCAGAAGCTATTTCCTTCAGTCTTAATGAGGAAAAAAAGAAGGAAATTTGCTGAGTGCCTGTATTATTTGTGCTGCCAGGGACCTCCCATGCATGTCTTTTCTTTCCTTGCTGAATTAACAGTTATTTTAATGGTCCCACTTTCTGAGTGGAGGGAGAGGAATTGCTTAGGTTTGGTAGCTCATAGCACAGGCTAGTTAAGCCCCATTAGCTGGGTTCTTTGCTGGCCCTTCCTGATGAAAACTGAGACTCTGTTGACTCTTAACACTTTTAGACCAGGGGAAACGGCCTGCAGGGAGAGCTGGGCCAGGCTGGATAGAGCTTCTCGTCGTGGTGGAAACCCACTCACAGCTCAGGCTGCCCAGGGCAGTTCTTTGTCAGGGCGTCAGATGAAGCCTGCGATGAAGAGAGATATTGTTTGTATTTTTCAGAAGAGGGGATTCCCCGAGTATCAGGAGAAACAATTCTTTTCTGATTCCTCTATTGGACCATAAGCTCTTTGAGAGCAGGGGCTGTTTTTGCTTAGCCCGGTGCCTGGCACACTTGCTGACTTGACTAATAGACTAGAGCAGTGTCATCTGACGGCATTAGGCTGGGAGAGAAGACGCCTGGTTTTCCTCTGGTTCTATCCCTAATTTGTTCTGTCACCCCAAGGATATTATTTCCCTTCCCTACCTCAGGCTTGCCTATTTTGTGAAAAGAGAAGAAGGCTCTTTCCCCACCCATGGTATTGTAGGGTTGGGTGACTGAAGGTGTGAAGATGGCTAGTTCCTTCCTAAGGGGGTCCCTTCCACCTTGGAAGTCAGTGTCGGGCCCATAGACATCCTTGGTTTGACCTTTGTGCTGCCAGTTTGGGATATTTTCTCACTCTTCTTGTAGACTGTCAAGCTTCTCTTTTCACTCTTCTGCTTCCATCCTCCTGGCAAACTACTGTGACTTTCCCAAGTCAGGAATGCAACTCTCTGCTATCTTAACTTGAATCCTTATGATACCTCCCATTTCTTCTTCCATTAGGGATAGTGTGGACTCTGACCAGTGGAAACGGGAAGAGGATTTCTACTACACAGAGGTGCAGATGAAGGAGGAAGCTGCTGCTCTGGCCATTGCTACTCCCACGACTGAGACAGTTCCCATCCAGAGTCTGACCAACCCACCCCTTGCCATCCTGCCACCACCCCTGCCCCAGGCAGAGTCGTTAGTCCTGGAACACCCTGTCTTGGAACCTTACTTGCCCACTGGTGCTCTCAGCAAGTCGGCCCCTGGCTCCTTTTGGCACATTCAGGCTGACCATGCATACCAGGTATGGAGAATCATAAACTTGGAGTGTTCCTAGGTTGCCTTGAGTGGCCCTGGGCGCCTGTGATAGCCATTGGCAGCTGGAAACCTGATTAATGTTTGGGCATTCTGATCTAGAGTCTAGTTGACTTAAGGTTTGACCTATTAGCCAAACTCCTAATCCTTTCCCATAAATAATTCTCCAGAACAATTCAAATTAGTTTATTCTCAAGGGAACCAGGTTGGACTGGGCTCCTGAGGAAGAAAAATTTCCTCACCACTGGGATTTATTTATGTAACAGGTAACATAAAACAGTAAATATAGTCAGGATCCCAGGGCAAATCTCTCTTCCCATTCCGTCTGTAGGGTGTACAGTAAACTCTCTATAATGCCAGTTCATCAGCTGACTTGGAGAAAAGTTGTAGACTTTGTCTAAACAGCCTCTGTAAAATAGGTGGGAAATATACAAAGCAGGGACGTGTTTCGTCATTTTTCAATGGTTCTAAATGTTCTAGTCCCTTGGGGTGGCCATGTCTGATTTGTTAGTATTGTCTTGTTTGTCCCTTAGCTGTGCTGGCAATACATGGTGGGGAGACCACAGATATATGCTGGATTTCAAGAAAGGAAAAGAAATCTATTGGCTTATTAGAATAAGTAAATACATATGAACAATCTGTCTTCCACACAGCTGCCAAATTGATGGTCCTAGTACAGTCATCTGACCATATTGTCGCTTATTCAGATACCTTTAGTGTTTCTGTCCTTACTGCTTTTATGATAAAATACAAACTTCTCACTCTGGTATTTAAAACTCTCCATAGTCTGGCTTCCTACTTTCCCAATTATTTCATTCACATTACTCCCCTTCACAAACTCTCTGAGTCCGTGAAGCTGGTCTGCTGGCTGTTCCCATCCACAATCTCCTGGCTCCTGCCTTGCTTTCGTTCGCCCAAGTGGTCCCTCGTGTCTTGAATGCGTTTCCTCTACTGTCTTAGCTTCCTTCCGAGCACAAGACACGTCACCTCGTATGGGAGGCGTTTCTTGAACTCTCCCTGTTATTAATAGTCTCTCCCTCGTGAAATTACTTTGTATTTACTTCTGTCTATGTAGAATGTTAGGTCGAGGATAGGGGACTGTTTCTTTTCTGTCTTTGTACTTCCACAGTGCCTTATTTTAGTAAGAGCTTAGTAAGTGCTTGGGTTGTTTTAAGTTTTTATTTAAAATATCTTTTGTTTTTGTATATCACCATAGTTTCCCTCAGTATTCCTCTGCCTGTTCCTCCCAAAGAGCCATCCCACATGGCAAATAGTGTATTTTAAAAGAGAAAAATAAGAGGAGAAAACTCAGCATAACTGATCAATACATTTAAAAAGTCTGAAAATATGTGCACTGTAAAATACCAAAGACCTCTCCCCTTTGTAGAGGGGAGTGGAACTATTTCCTCATTGAGCCATGCTTGTTCTTGATAATTTTGCAACATTCATTTTTAATTATTTTATAGTTTTTTCATTTGCATTGCTGTAATTACTGTGTATGTTGGTCTCTTGACTCTGCTAACTTCACTCTGCGTCAGTTCATGTAAATCTTTCCGCGCTTCTCTGTATTTATCACACACATCATTTCTTACAGCACAGGAATATTCCATTGCATTCATGTGCCATTCCCCAAATTTAACAGGCATTGACTTTGTTTACAATTCTTTGCTATCACACAGACACACAATAAAATGTTGCTATAGATATTTTAGTGTGTGTGGGGACATTCTTCTTCTCATTGCTCTCTTTAGGATGTAAGCCTCAGAACAGACTCTCTTGGGTAAAAGAATAAGAGCAAGGTATTTCTGACAACCAGGAGAATCGGAAGCCTGAAGAGGCAAATACTGCCATGAGTTTTTTCAGCTTTTGTTAAAACTCTTTCTTGCTTGAGGTCTGTGCTAATTTATAAAGCACAGCAGCCAGGTGGTGCAGTGGATAGAGTACTTGGCCTGGAGTCAGGAAGACCTTAAATCAAATTAGATCAAATTTGATCTTAAGACACTTACTAGCTGTGTGACCCTGGGCAAGTCACTTAACCCTGTTTACCTCAGTTTCCTCATCAATAAAATGATCTGGAGAAGGAAATAGCAAACCACTGTAGTATCTTTGCCATGAAAACCCCAAATGGGGTCACAGAGAGGTGGACCCAACTGAAAAACAACAACAATTTATAAAGCATTCTATGTGTCTTTTTGTCATTATAGAGGCAGCTGGTGGCTCAGTGGATGGAATGGTGGGCTTGGAGTTCAAATTTGGACTCAGACACTTGCTAGCTGTGTGACCCAGGGCAGACAGTAAACCTCTTCCTTCATTTTCTTAACTGTACAGTGGGGATGATGAGAGCACTTATCTTTCGGGGTTGATGTGACGATCAAATGAGATGATATTTGTGAAAGTGCTAAGTGCAGTGTCTGGCACATAGTAGACACAATGTAAATGCTTATTTCTTCCTTTTCCTTCCCTCCCCTTGTTAGCGACTTTCTGCTTTGTTCTAAGTGGCCATTCTCAGGAATAGGGGTTAACCTTCTGAGGGGAAGGCAAAGGAAGGGGAAAAAGTATTTATTAAGTGCCTGCTATGCACCAGACACTGCACTAAAGGCTTTACGAATATTATCTTACACAAATACCTGTAATCTATTTTTATAAAGTAGAAATATTAGCTACTATCAAGTTGTGTGACTAATTTTTAAAAATCCAGGACATGGACGTAGAAATGAGCATTGGAGCTAGCAAGGGGTCCCCTGAGGGACTCTGCACTTATTTCAAGGATGCTGCCATTGTTCATAGTATTTTTGGAGCCAGGTTTGGGAGTTGTCTTTGGAGCCTAATGCACATTCTTTTCAATTGTCTTAGTCTTAGTAAACATTTGTGTTTTGAAGACGGTTTTGCTTTTTTGAAAACAACCAAAAGTCATTGGAGCCAAGTTTGATGACTAAGATGAGTGACATCCTTCAGTGACTCTTGATGAGATTGGGACCGATTTCCTCATCTGTCAGTCAGGTCTTTATTAAGCGCCAGCTGTGTGCTAGGCACTCAGGATGCAAATACAATGAATGAAACAATCCCTGTTCACAAGGAACCCGTGTTCTCATGTAATCTGTAAACTGCTTCCGAAGACACTTTGTAAAGAGGAGTTGTGAGCAGTGGCCTGGATTGAGCCATTGCTGGATCAGTGTGTAACTTAGCAGCAACTAGAGCGCCAGACCTGGAGTTAGGAAGACCTGAATTCAAATCTGGCCTCAGACGCTTGTGATCTATGGCAAATCACATAACCTATGTCTGCCTCAGTTTCATCAACTATGAAATGGGAATAATCCTAGCACCTACCTCACAGAGTTGTTAGGAGGATCGTGCCTGTCACATAGTAGGCACTTAATAAATCCCTTCCTCCCTCTCAGGATCTCTGTCCAGTTAAAAGGACATTGGCCTTGCAGCCAGTGGATGTAAATGTGTGTATGACCTCAGACCGTAGCTAGCTGTGTGACCATGGTCCAATCTCCTATCCTTCTGAGCATCAGGTTCTTTCCCTCTAAAATGGAGGTCATCCTTGTGTAGCTTATACTTCATAGGGCTACTGTGCAAAAGGTACTTCGTTAATCCTAAAAAGCTATAGACACATGAGCTGGCAGTGGTAATGGGGGTTGGGAGGGGTGGTATGTTCAGATGTGTGAGTTCTATTTTTTTTTTCACATTACATTGTCAGACGACATATCTCCATATTGCTTGTAATATGAAAATTGATTGGAAATAACTGTTTTTAAAAACTTCTCAAGATCTAGCCTTTGCTAGATGAATCTGATTATTACACATATTTAACTTAATTATAATAATGTTAATTTTACTTTTTTCTCTTCTCTCAGGCACTGCCATCAATCCAGATCCCAGTATCTCCACACATATATACCAGCATTAGCTGGGCTGCTGCCACTTCTACTATCCCATCCCTTTCTCCGGTGAGTCCCGTTGTGGTTCTGCGGCAACTTTCAGATACCTGGAGAATGGGAGAGAGTGTGGTGATGTCTCAGGCACAGATAACACCTGCTCCTTGCTTCTGCAACATGACCTCCTAGAAAGATCACCCTGTCTCTCTGCCCAGTATTCATCCTCAGTGGAACCAGAGATTCTATAGGAGTGTATTGTTGAGAAAATTTTTAGATTAGATTTGGGATTAGTGAACTCCTTTGGCCCCGGACGACATCAGTGGAACTAAACTGGGCCTGTGGGTGCCAGTGGCTGACCTAAGTTGCAGGTGGCGACATGGCTAAATGTACCAAGAGGGTTGGAGTTGTTGGTAAATATGGAACACATTATGGTGCATCCCTCAGAAAAATGGTGAAGAAAGTAGAAAATTTAGGGTTAGGTATAAGGAGGGGAGAAGAAAGAAAGAAGAAAAAGGAAGTAGAAGGAGGAAGTTAGAAAAGAAAATAATGACTGACATTTATATAGTGTGTTAAAATTTGCAATGTGCTTTTTATTCATTTTTTCATTTGAGTCTCTTAACAACACTTGAGAAAAGAGACTGAAGGGAAAAAGTGGGTATATATGGCAAAGAAGAATAGAAGAGGGGCCCACCTCTTCCTCCACTCCCCACCAGAGTATGTTGCCTACAGGGGTGAAGAGGGAGAATACAATGGCACCTGTGCCATCCACTATCTAATTTAAGATTAAAATGCATCTTCTTAGTTGTTCATATTCATTTCCCTTGTCTGTAAGCACTCAACTCATTCCAGACACAAGATTCTAATCCTCTAGGGAAGGTTAGTACACATCAGCAAATCCTAAGAAGGTAGCTGGAAGAGAGATCAGTTTTGCCATATCTAAAATAAGGAAGTGAACCATTAAACAGTCTTTAGACAGCGCTTCAGGACCTAGCCAGTTCCAGTGATAGTAGAGGGCAGGCTCTCCCTCTGCCAATCTTTCTATCTGTTCAGTAGCACTTAAAGTAGGGCTCCTTAACCTCGGGACCTTGGATAGATATCAATGGGTCTGAATTTGGATGGGGGAAAAAATCGCATCTTTATTTTCACTATGACTCACTATGATTTTCACTGTGATTTCCTTTATAATCCAGTTATTTCCTTTTATGCATTTAAAAATATGTTCTGAGAACGGTTCCATTGGCCAGACTACCAAAGGGATCTATGATACACAAAGGGTTAAAAGCCCTTGGTTTAAAGGAATGCACCTCCTTTTCACTCATCTCACATTTGGTTCCACAAAATTCTGTTCCAGCTAATCCCTATTCATCTTGAATATCCTCTCTAAGGTAATTGTCTTTCATACCATACAAAGAGATAGTATTTAGTACCCAGGACATGGTGTGGGTTCAGTAAGTATTGCTTGTTGCTTGAGAGTGTTAGCTAGATATACATATTATTTTTATATCTTCCTTACCTGGTGTGCATCTTCCTTTTTCTTGTGTACAGGTCCGGAGCCGGTCACTAAGCTTCAGTGAACCCCAGCAGCCACCACCTACGTTGAAATCCCACCTGATTGTCACATCACCACCCCGATCACAGAGCAGCACCAGGTGAGACTCCTGTAGTGACCCACTCTTATTTCCTGCCATCTCAACTTTTGGAAGATTTTAGTATAGGTAGACTCTAGATTCACAGAAATAAAGTCAGTAATAGCCATTCTTCTGGAATACCCTACAGATGAAGGACCTGATTAAGATTTTAATGATGGGAGATTCTTTTTTAACACCTCCGCCACCCCCACCTTCATGCCTATCCTCCAGTTACCCTATTTAGATGGAATCTCCCAGCCATCTTGGTTTATCTTTTGAATTATCCCATTGCCTGACCTTTACTATTTCCTTTGGCCAGTCCCGCAGTTGGTCAATTAATGAATCAGCAGCCATTTCTTTTTTTTTCTTTTTTTTGGCTATGCAGTGGGGTTAAGTGACTTGCCCAGGGTCACACAGCTAATGAGTGTTATGGTTTTGAGGCTGGATTTGAACTCAGGTCCTTCTGACTCCAGGGCCAGTGTTCTATCCACTGCACCAACTAGCTGCTCCCAACAGGCATTTCTTAAGTGCCCACTGTGCATACTAGGTTAGGCACAAATACAGAGAATGAAACATTCCCTGTTCTCATGGTACTTGCATTCAAAAACATAAAAATACTTACAGCATCAATATTAAAAGAAAAGAAAACAAATATATACAAAGTAGTTTGTAAGTCGAGTCATCACGCATTTATTGGGGAGGGCACTCACTAGCAGTTGAGGGATTAGGAAAGGGTTCATGCAGATTATGGGCTTATGTTGCATCTGGATCACAAATGCCTGTTTTTTTCTACTCCCCTTTCTCTTATACAGGAAAGCCCGTGGAGAAGCCAAGAAGTGCCGTAAGGTATATGGCATTGAGCATCGGGACCAGTGGTGCACAGCCTGTCGGTGGAAAAAGGCCTGTCAGCGATTCCTGGATTGAACTTGTTGAACCTGCTCAACTTCTTACTTCACTGGTCCCAGAGCCCACCCCCCAGGTCCTGACCTGGTAGCCCAGAGGAGGAAGTGATGCAGCAGTGTCTCCTGAGCCTCCAGCAGTGACCTAACGATTCAGGTTCAGATTTTGAGTGTGGGATGTATTGGTCAAGGTTTAACTGGGTTTTTTTTCTTTCATTCTTTTTTTTTTTTGTAGGGATGCTTTATTTTGATTTTGGAAATACAAAGGAAATGAGAGAATTTTTCCTTCTTATTGGTCACAGAAAACAGGAGAAAGCCAGAGCCAATGATTTGTGTGCTCTGTAGTGACCCAGAGACCAAAGAATTATTTTCTTTTTTCCTTCTATTATTTTTCCCCCATCTGGGGCAAGTTCTTTTGATGCTCTTGGAAGGAGCAGCTCTCTAGGTATTGCTGCTGAGTTGGCAAATTCTCTCAGAATTCTTCCCAGAGGGACTGCTTGGTGCCCAGGAGAGGCAGAAGGAATTGTTTAAGAAGTGACTCCACTGGCCACATGAGGACAGGAGGTACTGATGCTGATAGAGATGGAAAGTCAAGAGAAAAGGGTGCTTGGGTATTTGACCAAGTGCATTCTTTGATCCATCCGACTTCAGGAGAAGGAAAGATTGATCCTTTTTCATCAAGCAGCATCCATGGAAGTGAAAGGACATTGTATCTTTTAGTAATACATTTGTTCAACCTATTTTAATCTGGGTTCTTCTAGATATTGGCTTTTACCCCCAGCCCATCTCATTTGGTTCTTGAAAGCCCAGCCTAATGGATTTTTAAGAGTCTCTAAACCAAGCTACACCAGAGGATAAAGTGACCTCCCACATTTCAAAGGGTGAATCAACGTAGCTTTGAGCATTTTAAGAGTTTTTTTTCCATTTCAGTGAGGAAATGCTGGAGGTTGTTACAGCCTCCCCAGAAACCTCTGCTGCCACCCATAGTGAAATCCTTTCATCCTTTACCCCTCTCATCATAGAAATATGTCGCATTAAAAACAACAACAAAAAAACCTCTTTGGGGTTTTTTTCTTGTGTTTTATCTTTCTAACCTCTTTTTCCCTTATTGGTCCTTAAGAGATCATAGTAGGTTCTTCAACCTCTCCCATTCTCATTGTGGACAGTCTTTCCCCTCCCAGCCCTCCCCCAGCTGCTGGAGGTGTGACTGGTTCTGGGAGGGTGGGGTTTGGGGGAGATTAGGTGAAGGGAATAAATGATGATAGGTGGCAACCTGGGAATGGAGAAGGAAGTTGAGGGGCCCCAAATTCTACTCTTGTCTAATTTGCCTCTCTGAGAAAGGATAGTTCTGATGTCCAGTGTGAGCATCCCATGAACTCCCAAGCTTAGACAGTGAAGTTCTAGATTTGTTATCTGTGCTTTGTCAAGGCCATTTGGAGGCATGGGGCCAGTCATGGCGTACCACCCTTGAAAATTACAAAGTCCCAGTTTCTAAAGCTGATGGCAAAGTAGGGTGGGATGTGGGGTAAAGGGAATTCTAAGAGATGTGGGATGAAAGTTGCAAGACTCATGTGAAGGCCATGTGGGATGGACCTAGGGACCACTGGAATATAAGTTCTGTAAAGGTCTTTGGGGACCAAAACGCTTAGCTGCAGTACCTTGCTTCTAGAGGTAGATGAGCAGAAATGGTGTATTTGTATCTAAGATTAGGCGTCAGGAACTTGGGTCACTCGGAGAGTCATCTGATAATGACTTGGCAGAGACATGGCCTGAGGGGGGCTAAAGAAATAAGGCACAATTCTTGTGTTCCTCTCAGTTCCTACCTTCCTTCTACTTTATGGCAGCCTATTTGACAAAGCCCAGATGACAGACATGCAGTGTTCTCTGGAGCCCATCTGAACAGGCCACTCAGTACCTAGTTGCCTTAGGAGGAAACCTGGATGTACATTATAGAAGGCTGAAACTCAGGGAACCACACCGAGCCACCTCAGCTGGGACCTTGTCAGAGCAGTGCCTGCCCCTGGGTTCTAGACTGAGTTCTCACATCCCTACAAACACCCAGCCACCAAAGTTCATACTAACTTAAGTGAGCTATCTGAAGGTGGGAGTTTTGGTTAAATTTTCTCCTAACAAAACAAAACTACGAATGTAGCCATAGCATGATAGATACCATGACTCATCCAAGCAAGCTGGACCGGGGTGATAAGGAGGGAGAGAGGAAATAAGAGAAAACTGCCTTACAGCAGTGCAGTATATTTTTGTAACTTTATAAAATGCTTCCAAGTTGGAATTCTTGTTCCTGGTCAAGCTAGAAACTAGGCCAGAGGAAAAAAAAAAGGCCGCTTTCTTCCTCCCATGTGTCTGTCCTGGGTCAGAACTGAATTTGAGTCCAGGATAAAACTTTACCTAACTTCCTTGCTTCTGTTTCCTCTGTGTATGAGAAGAAAGTCGTCCTTGCTTGTACCCTGATCATCTGTCAAATCCCCCTGAGGCAGAAGGACCATTCTGAGAAGTGAGAAGAGGTGGACCAACCTTCTCTTCTTCTGAGGGCAAAATGGTCACTAGGCCTCTCCTCCAAGATATCTTTGGTTTCAAAAAAAAAAAAAGTTGCTTCTCAGGGTCTGGAGAGTTATAGACTAGTTAGGTGTGAACATTTTCCCTTGGTGAGTTACCCTTCCAGTGATGTTGGTGCAGCACAACAAATGGGAGGCAAGAGAAGACACTCGTGGAACCCAAAGGATAAAAATCCAAATAATTTTCAGTTCAGCTCCTTCTTATGCTTCCTTTACTTCTTATTCCACTTTGGTGGTGGTGTGTCTCCCGCCCTTTCGTCCGTCACAGCTCCATTCTCTTGCTGTTGGGTTGGTTCTCAATGTTTGGTTTGTCCTTGAGATAAAAAAAAAATCTCCATTACTTCTCCTCTTTGGGGGTGGTTTGTGAGTTGATCAAGTCCAAAAAATCCTATTTGCTTCATCTGTGTCTCTTTCTCTCCACTTCTCAGCCTCTCCAGGTGATGGATTCTGATTGTTGGAAGACAGGGTAGAAGGAACACTTCTCAGTAGAAGGCTGCTCATCACTTTTTGAGTGTATGAGGTGTGACATGGAATAATGTTGCTTTTAAAAAAACAAAACTTAAATGTTCAAGTGAACTCCTCTTCAAAGGAGTTGCCCTAAGAGGTAATGCACTTATTCCAATGCCATTCAAAACATTTTTGGAACAAAATCCCCCCCCCCCCTTTTTTTTTGCAGGTCTTCAGAGCCTCCATTCTTTTGAATATTAGCAATGGTGATAAATCCTTTTAATTTGTGAAGTGTGTTCGATTTAAAAAACAAACAGACAAAAGGCATTAAGAACCACTCCTGGAAAAGAAATTGGGTTATCAGGCTAGGTGATACTATGTTTAAAAACAAGGTGTGATTATAAGGTAATGAAAGCGGAGAGAGAGAAAGAAAGAGAGTGTGGTTCCCATTAATGCTCTTTGGAGACAGTTCTTTTTGTCCTCACTCTTTTTTTTTTTAACTAATTTTTTTAATATCTTTTGTTTCCCATTGTATCCCTCAGCCCTACTACTTCTTAGAACCATCTTTTATAATGAATAAAAAAGAAGGGGGAAGAAAAGTTCAGCAAAACTTACCAATACGTTTAAAAACTTTGATATTATCTGTAATGTCCCATACCCGTGGTCCCGTTTCTGCCAGTTGGAGATAGTTCTCAAGGAGAGATTCCAAAGCTGTTTTGAGGAGTGGCAACATCACTGAAATGACTGTGTAGGCTCCCAATTAAGGAGAACACTCTTTGGATGCATGAATTGTGGTCTGTTTAAACAGTCTGCCTCATTTTTTTATAGTCACACCTTGTAAAATCATTAATACCATCCTAGGGAATGGCTATTTACTAGGGGCAAGGAAGAGAAAAGGGGGATAAATCCTGGATCTGTGAATTTGTCTTACTGGAGCTTTTTCCCCTTCCCAGCTGTCTTCCAAGTATTATTTTTATTGTTAAAAAAATTTTTAAATGTGAAATGTAATGTTTTTACTGCAGCAATATGAAATATATTTTATAAGGAATAAAATGGAACATTGGCTGATTTCCTTTGTGCTCATTTTTCTCCCATCATTCACAAAAATGTTGGTGGTCACTGGCATTGGACTGACTAGCAGGTGGTACTTCCCCATGCCCCTTTTAGCACTTCCGATAGAATTTATGTAGTTTTCTTAAGATGGAAATACTTTGGGTCAAATCATCTGCACTCTCTTAGTTAGTCATGTGTCTGTATCTCCTGGCACCTAGACCTAGTAATGGGCAAATCTAAGATACAGCAATTAGGGGCAAATAATCTCTTTTGGGCAGTTAGATGGTACAGTGGACAAAGCACCAGGCCTGGAGTCAGGAAGACTCATCATCCTGAGTTCAAATCTGTCCTCAGACATTTGCTAGCTGTATGACCCTGGGCAAGTCACTTAACCCCGTTTGCCTCCATTTCCTCATCTGTAAAATGAGCTGGAGAAGGAAATGGCAAGTCAGTTCTAGTGTCTTTGCCAAGAAAACCCCAAATAGGGTCATGAAGAGTCAGACACTAGTAAAAATGACTCAACAACAACAATCTATACTTTTGGAGGCTGTAGCAAATCAGAGGAGCTTTGGTCCACATTGGTAGAAGGAGTACCCACACCAACAAAATTGCAGATCCTCACAATATTGAGTAGTTATACTTTATAAGATTATTTGTTCTAAGCTGTCAAGTCATAGCTCAGTAAAGGAAACTTGGGGAGGATTGTAGACTTTTTCCTAAGGACATCCCTGTACTGCTGTGGTCAACTTTTAATTTGCAAAGAGCTTTCAAAGTCAGGAAGCTTCACTTATACAAATCAACACTTATTCTGTAATTTATAGTCTTAGTTGCCTATAGCACTGAGAGGTTCTGATTTGGTCCAGAGTCACACAATCAATATGTATTAGTACTTGAACCCATTTGTCTCTCAGGCCAGCTCTATCTGGTCTTCGATGGTCCCAAAGGCCCAAAACATGCTGGTTATTGGAAACAAATAACCTTGTTGGAAAGTTGGAAATAGAAAAGGCATTATTCTTGTCCGCCCTTAAAACACTCACGGTTTACTTGCAGTTACTACATATTGAGACTGACCAAAGGAAGCTGAAGAACTTTGAAGGCACAAACTGAAATAGTGAGAGTATATAATATAAGAGACCAATAGAGGTGCCATTGTGCAGATAGTGATTAAACTTGTTCTGTTCAAGATGTTGACTTTAAAACGCTAACTAGAGGAAAAGTTTGGTCCTTTAAGAAAAGCTTCTTAAAAATAGAATTGATAGCATTCAGGATTTCTAAAGTCCAGAGTTGTTGCCTATATTTTAATAGGCATTTTTATGTATAGGAGGAATAAGAGACTGAATTAGTCACAGACCATGATCAAGTAAACCAGAGAGCAAGGACTTTTGGAAACACTAAGAAGATACAACTTCCATGAGAAATTGGTCCAAGGGTTTGTTAATGGAGCTAGGCGAGGACAATAAGTGACTGCTAGGAGTATTTAAAGCAGCTAATACAAACCGAGAAGCAACAAGCACATCTAACACATTTTCCACTGGCTACTCTGTAGCCCTGAAATGAGAATGGCTTCTGTTACTGAGAAAAAAACATTTAAATTTGCAGCCCAAGATTAAGTTAGTCGCTGTTCATGGGAAAAAGTGTGAGAAAAAGAATGAGAAGGTATTAACGTGACTAGGTGTTAATATTTCTTCAAATCTTGCTCCAAAATGGCATTTTCCTCTTAAACTTGGTAAATAAGTGTCAGTGATTGTGCAAAAACAGTAATAGTTAAGTAAAAAAAAAAATCCAGTAGGACATTTTTAATTTTTATCTATGATTTTACATCATTTATGTAAAAGATAAATTCTAATAGTATATGAAACCATTCACCTAGCTAGACCATGAGTCTGATGTTGGAACATTTTTTGTTTTTCTGAAGATCTTTAGGGCTAGACTAGGTATGGGATTCATATCTAGAGAAAGAGTCCCATTTAAAAAGTTTTGTTTCAGTCATGTTAAATAAGGCTATAAAGGATTTTTAAAGAAGCCTCATAATACACAGCTGCCATTGTAGAATTTATAACCTGAAGTCTTTTCTAAAACCAAGTTCAAAGGATTTTAAGTGTATGACCTTAATTGGTCTATTTTGCCCCATTAATATGGCATAATATAATTCCAAATATCTAAGGCTTTAGGCCTTAGGAGAAGATTTCTAGAACAGGGGTTCTCAACAGAATCCTTGAACTTGGAAAAAAATTACACTGCTATCTTCCAATTGAAATCTTACATTTCCTTCAATTAATTGAAAAGAAAACTTATTCAGAGAAGGAGTCTGTAGGTCCAAATTGCCAGTTGGAGTCCATGACATAAAAGGTTAAGCATCTCTTTTCTGGAGGGACATTAAATATATAAATGAAACATTATGCATCAATAAATTCAGATTCAATAAACCATGTGTTAAGCATCTATTGTGTATGCCAGGTGGTGAGGATACACAGAGGAATTATGACAACTTTTGCCCTAGAGGAGGAGCTCATGGAGGGACTAAGTCATTCAAAAATAACTGTAGGACTACAGGCCTGACTACTAGCCAGATAAGCTATCGACAACCCTCTGCAAATTATGGGGAACTCGGACTGTCCCCTACAATTGAGACCAATGTGGCAAAATCTGCAGACATGCATCCAGCAATTTCAAACACTTGGGCAGAAGTTTACATCAGGGTTGCTTTCAGATGTCCTTCTAGATCTACAAGGAAGCCTTCCCATCAACTCCCTCTCTTCATCTGATTTAAAGCAATTGATAAGATGGAAGGAAACAAACAGTACTCGGCTAATGTGGGAGCTGCTGGAGAAAGGATTGGAAATGATGATGAAATGTCCCTTTTTCTCAGGGCTCTGAAAGCTGATTATGGGAAGTTATGTAGGTCTGTTCTTTGTCCCTTTGGTGGAATGCCTGGCTACCTCTCCTAAGTATTAATACCAACTAGCTGTATGGCTTTGGGTAAATAACTTCATCTCTTTTGGCCTTTGTCTCATCATTTGTAAAATAAGGGTTTTGGACAAGACTAGCCCTAACTTTTTACAGTGCTTTGATTCTATCTTCTAACGAAGCAGAGCAGGCCAAAGGGGAAGAGCTTCCCAAGTTTAATTGCATTCAAGAGGTATGACTAATAGAGTTTGATATTCTTTGTGACATAATTATAAATGATAGTAAAAGTGATTGATGATTATAACCCTGATCAAAGTAGCACAGTAGTGATGAAATTTGATTAAGTAGTTAATTAGCATGTGAACCCAATTCATCCAACCAGAAAAAGTTTTAATTACAAGAAGAGCAGGGGAAGAAATATGAAGGATGAATGTGACCTTAGGTGAATGTGGGAAGTCCAAACGTGACAAACAGTACAGAAGAAGCCGCATTGGCATGAAGGCAGATCCAGTGGGAGGGGGTGACAAAACTGATGACTGAAAAGTCTGAAAGTTTCCAGCTGATTTCACTCCTCTTAGGAAGCCTCCCTTATAATGAATGATATAGTCAAACAAAACAAATTCACCATTGGACCTGTTCTGAAAAGGTATGTCTCATTCCACGCCTCTAGCATACTACTTCTCTACTGAGACATACTTCTATTGGACATTTCCCAGACTATAGTTTCAGGAAAGCAGTGGGTGCAAAAACCAGAATTCATGGCTTAGGAAATGGAGAAAATGGGTGTAGACATGAAAACACTTTATAAAGTGTTAGCTATTGATAACAGCTCACACGTAAGTGAAGCACTATATAAAGTGTTAGCTATTGATAACAGCTCACACTTAAGTACATAGCACTTGATCACTTTGAAAGCACTATGCA